CAGAGCTTTCCATAGCCCTGCATAGCCGTACATAGTCGTACATAACCCTATATCGCCGTGCATATCCATACATAGCCAAACATAACCCTTTACAGCCGTGAATAGCCGTGCCTAGCCGCGCATAGCCGTACATAGCAGTAGACAGCCGTGCATAGCCGCGCATAGCCGTACATAGCCGTGCATAACGTACATTACCGTACATACGCGTTCAGGGCCGTACAGATCGAGCTGTACATCATCATATCATAGCCTTGCACAACCGTACAAAGCGCTAAATAGCCATACAGAGCCGTACATAGCCTTACGTAGCCCTACATAGCAGCATATAGCCGTGCATATCCATACATAGCCGTACATAACCCTATATAGCCGTGCATAGTGTTACATAGCCATACATAGCCGTTTGTAGCCGTGCATGGCCGTCATAGCCGTACATAGCCGTACATAGCTGTGCATAGCGGTGCATTTAGCCGTGCATGGGCCTACATAGCCGTAGGCATATCCATACATAGTGAAACTAGGCTTTATACGGCGGATCGCGTCGTTAAGACTTATTTTAGCTCCGTTTACGTGAAAAAGAAAAAATGATGTGACAGTAGGTATAATAATGAACCGGAGAAAAACCAGTAAACATTTCGTTAGTCCCATCAATTTAATTATTCCTATAATTATTAACTATCAATTAAGTATCGAAAGAAGTTCTCTTGTATCTTATTTACAGTCATCATTTTTTTTTTACACGGCGCCCACGTTGTCCGTGGAGATACAAAAAAGCTTTGTTTTTGCGTCCTTTACTTCTCTCTCAAGTTGCTGACTGCGAGACCACGCGCGCTGTCAGCAGGGTTACTCTTTAGCGATATGTACACGCGTGTAAAAAGTAGCCTCTGCCTCCGTACATTCCTGTGCAAAAAATGTTTACAACAGAAGCAATGATAAAAAGTAGTTTTTAACGAGTTTCCTAAAAGTTTGGATATTGTAAAAGATTTTTTTTTTCTACAGCACAGTGTTCATTATTTCTGCTGTCATGTGTTACCATCGGTGAGCGCGTCATTAAAGAAACATAACGCTTACGCAATTTTGGTCGGATTTATCACACGACCGAAAACGGCGTTTTATATTAAGAAATAAAACGTAAAACTCTTGTGACTTTATCTGAAAGCGTGTTTAGTGTTGCCACTACAAAATGCGTTTGCTTCAGAATGACGCACTGATCCTGCGTATGCTGACAGAAAAAAGCGCCATTTGCTCAAGAATAAAAGTTTGGACGGCTATCCGCAGGTTCCTTTTTGCTCGCAGGTGAATATTGCGAAAACGTAACCCCCACTGTCTCAGTACTGTGACTAATCTATGCCCATAAAAATTGCATAGTAAAATAAAAATGAATAATAAAGAATAAAAATGTCAATGACAACATGTGTAATAAACATATGAGATAAACAAAAGGAAAATACAGCTATGGGGAATATCGTTTGTGATCGATGTTTTGTCTGAAATATGTTTTTCGCAATGAAAAGTACGTTTTCCTCAACGAAGGGCAAATGGGTATTTGTACCGAAGACGTGTCAGCCTTCGGCCAACACCGAAAATTCCCGCCGCATGCGAGAAAAACCTCTGGTGCCCAGGGTAGGGTATTTGCGACCCAAATGGGTATTTGCTGCGAAGTAAAGTTTAGCCGGTAAATGCTTAAAATAGTAAAAAAGCAGCTATCAACAAGTGAAATGTACGCAAACCATTATGCAAAGCGAGTTGCAAACAACAATCCGTGGAAAATTCTCCCCAAAAGAGATTTTTTAACTAAAAACTATTGCAGGCACTTTCAAAAAATCTTCATGTTTCAAGTCTTGTTGAAGATGTAGCTTACAACAGGAAAGATTCGTAAATTAATGGTCTGGTAAAATTCTACGAATTGCAGCGGTCTTTATTAGCAATTTTCCTTTTTTCGAGGACCTTTCGAACCGCTGTTTTTTTCGAATTTTAAAAAAAATTTCGTATCGTGTACCTAAAATTGAGTAATTGCTACGTTGGCGAGGTTTGATTGAAAATAGTACGCGCTAAACTTTAGGGCTGTGTCAGAAAATTAAAAACATGAGAAAATGATGCATAGACTTTACTCTCCATGTTTTTAATTCAAACTTTTTTCGATTTACCGTTTGAAAATAGCAGAGCGATAACAAGTAGAAAATACGCAGTCGACAATCTAAAGAGAGAGAGAGAGAGAGAGAGAGAGAGAGAGGCAGATTCAAGTGGGTATTTGCTACGATGGATGGGTATTTGCTAC